CCCCGATTTTGGCCCAAACCCCCCAAGGATGGTGCCAGGGGGTGCCCACGTACCCGCCTTGAGCAGGTCAGCCAGGAGGCCGCTCCACTCAGCGCGGAAGGTGTCGGCCCCGGTGAGGCTGCCGTCGCCGCCGATGACGCAGAGGTTGGTGATGCCGCGCTTCACCAGGTTCCGCGCCGCCTTCAGCCGCCCCTCGCGCGTCCGGAAGTCCTGGCAGCGCGCGCTGCCGATGACGGTGCCACCCTGCCGGCACCCGGGGGTCAGGGGAGCTCGCCACCGGGGCAGGGGGAGCTCGGCCGGCCCGCCGTCCTGCTGTCCTGCCAGCTGTCTGTCCTTCCATCCAACGATCCATCCATCCATCTGGCCTTCCATCCGTCCTTCCTTCCATCCTTCCTTCCATCTGTCCTTCCATCCATCCATCCTTCCTTCCTTCTGTCCTTCCTTCCATCTGTTCTTCCATTCATCCATCCGTCCTTCCATCCATCCTTCCTTCTATCTGTCCTTCCTTCCATTCTTCCTTCTATCTGTCCTTCCTTCCATCCATCCCTCCCTCCCTCCCTCCATCCATCCAACCATCTGTCCTTCCATCCATCCATCCTTCCATCTGTCCTTCCATCATCCAACCATCCATCCATCCATCCATCATCCATCCCTCTATCCCTCCATCCATCCATCCACTATCCTTCATCATCTAACCATCCATCCATCCATCCTACCAGCCATCCATCCATCATCCTTCCATCATCCATCCCTCTATCCCTCCATCCATCCATCCATCATCCTTCATCATCCACCCATCCATCCATCCACCCATCCCTCCATCCATCCATTCATCATCCATCATCCACCAACCATCCATCTATCCTTCCTTCCATCCATCCATCCATCCATCCATCCATCACCCACCCACCCCCCCATCCCACCCTCTCCCAGCTCCGGCTCCGGCCGGTTCCGTGCGCGGTGCCGCCTCACCAGCTGCAGCATCATGGACACGCTCTCCCACGTGGCCTCCTGGATGTGATCCCCTCCATCCACCAGCCCCTGGTAGCCCTGGGAAGGGGGGGGGACACACACATAAGTTTCCAAAACCCCCCTTCTGGGCTTTTTTGGGACAAAACAGGGGGAAACTGGGAGCAAACTGGGGGAAACTGGGCGGGGGAGCACTGACCTCGTAGACGAAGAAGACCTTGGCACCGGTGTAGATGCCCACCCGCACCACTGCCCGCACGGCCGCGTTCATCCCTGGGGGGGGCACCACACCGTCACCCCCGGGACCCCCCTCAGGGACCCCCCAGGGACCCCCCCAAAGCCACCGGGGGCCCCCCTGACCCCCCCAGGGACCCCCCCAAAGCCAAAGGGGCCCCCTGACCCCCCCATCCCCCCCCCGGCCCCGCAGCTGCCGGGTTATTTTTGCCCCGGTGACCTTTAGTGGCGGTGGCAGCGCGTGACACCCGGTGACAAACACCGAGGGGGGGGGGACAGTCGAGTAGAGACCCCCCCCC